GTCGCGCAGGCGCGTGAACGTCCGCTCCGGGAATCGCGCGTTGTAGTTCATCGCCTCCTCCGCGAGCCACCGGTCGCCGCCGGTGAACGCGACCGCGGCGGTCGACTTCCGCTTCGAGATCTCGTTAATCACGATGGAGATCGGCGTCCGCCCGGGGGCGACGATCGAGACCTTGAGGTACTCGGAGCCGTAGTCGATCCCGAGGACGGCCGCGGACGCGCTCGTCGCGACGAGGACGATCAGCGCGAGCGCGCAGAGGACCATCGCGCGTAAGGACCGCATCGCGAGACGGGCCGTGCGTGTCGCGGCGGCGCGTCGCCGATCGCTTTTGAGTGTGAAGAGACGTTTCGGGCCGCGCTTTGTGGCGCAGCGCGACTGCAAAAGAACTGCGTGTTCTCTCGGCTGTGATTGGCTGGCTGGCTGGCTGGGTTCGCCTTTGAAACGATGCTTATGCCTTTGAACGGCCGCATGGAATGCAGCAAGTCCGATCAACGACCGGTCAAAAGTCATCGGTCGATAAAAAACCACTGCAGCTTTCTCGGGGTTGCCAACTTACGCGCCGCGTCCGCAGTTCTCGCCGCGCACGAAGGGGTCCGCGACCATGACGCCGACGCTGCTCGCGTCGCCCTCGGACACCCTGTCCTCGCTCGACGCCACGGATGAACGCACGCCCCCGCAAACGCCCGAAGCCCCCGAGGCGGTGCGCGACCTCTCCCTCCCCTGTCCCTTTCCCCCCACCCCCACCCCCCGCAGCTCTGAGTTTCCCACGCCCCGCCGCGTCCGTCGCCCCCAGGTCGTCTACCTCACGCGCGAGAGCGACGGCCACCGCCACGCCACGACGCGGATCCCCGACCGAACGACCGATCACGCCGCGGAGACGACGCAGACGATCGACGAGTCCACGCACGGCGAAGCGTGGGCGAGAGGGGACTTCCGCTGGAACGACCGAGGCGCCTTCTACTACGAGCGCGTGCGAAAGAAGTGCGCGCTCCCGGCGCTCGTCGCCACTGGGAGACACGCGGGACGCAGCATGGTGCGCATGCGCAGTCGTAACCTCATCGGGCTGTGGTTCGTGGACATGTTCACCTCCCTCGTGGAGATGCGGTGGAGGTACCTGATCCTCTTCATCGCGTCGCTGTATCTCGTGTCATTCGTGCTCTTCGCCGCGGCGTGGTACGCGCTTCACGCCGCGTCGCCGACGTGTCTCAACGGGTTCGAAGCCGTCGACGCCGCGGACGCGTTCAACGCCGCGCTGCAGCTCAGCGTGGAGACGCAGACGACGATCGGGTACGGCGGGAAGTCCGTCAACGCGGGGTGCAGGACCGCGACGCTGGTGCTCATCCTGCAGTGCCTCGTCGGCGTCTTCGTCGACGCGTTGTGTCTGGGGCTGATCTTCGCGAGAATCACGGATCCGAAACATCGTACGCGGTCGGTATTCGTGTCCGACGCCGCGTGCATCGCGACGAGGGACGGCGCGCTGACGTTCATGTTTCGCGTCGCGGACGTGCGCGACCGCAAGGTGATCGCGCCGGTCGTGCGCGCGTCGCTGTACACGTGGCAAGGACGGAGAACCGCGGAGGGCGAGCACCTTCCGGTGACGTGCCAGTCGATGGAGATCAACCACCGCGACGAGCTCATGCTTCTGCCGATCACGATCGAGCACGTCATCGACGAAAAGTCGCCGCTGTACCACCACACGCACGAGTCCCTGGTCGCGTGCGGCGCCGAGGTCGTCGTCTCCCTGGAGGGTTGCATCGACACCACCGGGCTCAGTTTCAGCGCGCGGCAGTCGTCCTCCC